GAAAGTGCAGCACCCATGTCTACTAAATCCACCAGTTTAGATCCGACATTGTCGTTCCAGGTTCCCATCCAAATCATACGAACAATTGGACTCACTCCGTGGTCTAGTTGATACTGTGTTTGACCGGAAAGGTCGGTGGTTCGACCCCTGGCCCCGTCACACCAAAAGACATTTAAGATGTGACTTGTGACCCTTCCATGGCCTAGATTTTCGAAGCTGTCTTAGCGCTAAGATAGTCGTAAGTGCCATTCATTAACATTAACTTACGACTATCTTAGCGCTAAGAGAGCTTCGAAAATCTAGGCCCTCTGCCATTTAGATAATATGCTGTGTCTGAGTATATAGTATTCATGTTAAAACTGTGACATGGTAGCTCAGTGGAACTAAAACACGAGTATTAGTCCGGGGTGCTCGAAGCCACACGCACGTCCATACGCTTACACATACGCACGCACACACGTGCATTTCCGACGCTTTGTGCATTGATCTCGTATTCTACTTTAAACTCAATTTCACCTCACGAAAACACAATTGATGACAGGAATTCTATTACAACCTATATGGGTCGTTTCGATACAATTACAATGCAAGTCAAGAACGCTGGTGAGTTAGCACGACATCTGTCAAGCTAACACGTCTCCGCGGGTGACACCAAAATTGAGATCCTACGCGAATGCGGCGCAAGAAACATGATATTGCTTGTCATTTTATTTTCAATCAATTCGGAGCACACCGGCTAGAACAGTAGGCTGCTTGTGACATTGTTTATTAATTTATTGATACACGTAATTCAAAATAAAGTATATCGGTCAGCCATTAGAAGAATGTATTTTAGCGAGACATAAAAACAGATGTTCCTTTTCTCAAGTGTCAAAGAATGTGTTTCTATTTATTTATAATGATTAGGACCTGTTTATACTGTAGAAATATTTGGGTTCGTATACATTAAAAAGCCTTCCCACCCCACCGCACCCTCTCTCTTCTCTCTCTCTCTCTCTCTCTCTCTCTCTCTCTCTCTCTCTCTCTCTCTCTCTCTCTCTCTCTCTCTCTCTCTCTCTCTCTCTCTCTCTCTCTCACTCAAACACACACACACACACACACACACACAACATAATAATACTTTACGCGAGTTTATCCATTTTCAAAATAGATCCCTGCTTCTACTGATGTGTCACCGGGAATAATTCGCTGTGTTTGCTAAATATTTTGTGGACGTACCCCTTTGACATCAAGCAAAGCCCACAACATAATACTTCACCGTACACGGTTCCTTCTGCCTATCAACTGTCCCCCGCACACAGCCCAGTTTTGTTGCATGAATCCTATACATAGTGGCAGACGACACTGAAAGGACGCGGTAACATTGATTTGAGAACATCTGTTGACATCAAGAATATGGATCGCTATGTTCAATGGAAATGCTGGAATATGAAATAGTTTCGTGGTGCGTGATCCCAGAATTGTGTAGAGGCGGCGACAGTTGTGGATATGTATAATGCAGTATGTGTTCGGATACTGAAGCGAGTATGAACATTGAAACTTCATGTGTAGTGCGCCCTGAAATATCCTAGCCGCTTGTTCACGGTGCGGGTTTATCGAGCTACAACCATATCTATACGTAGAGACGCACGACACAGCATCTATTCAAATGTACATTAAATGAAGATGCATATGTAGCTATAATATAGATTACCGTGGTTAATATTTTGAATATTAATACTGGTTTACATTTGGTTATTTAATCATATTTACATTCATTTCTCTGCCTATTGACACATTTTCACTGTGATCTTTGTTTCATTAAAATATACTCATGCCAATAATGGTTGTCACCCCCCTTCCCACCCCAACCCGACACACATCTCACACACCCACTCCACACCCTCTCCAATTAAAAAAATTGAAGGGGGTGACAACCATTATTGGCATGAGTATATTCTTTTGAAATCGCTTAAGAAAAGGTGTTCGACAAAACCCTTCATTTCTGTTGGTTGGTTTCGAAATAAATCTACAAGAATGTTTGTTTTATCAATTCTTCTTCTTAAGATTCAAGATTGAGACATCCTGAATTATTCAAATATGGGAGTTATTCCTCCTCATTCTATACTGTTTGTTTGTTTGTTTGTTTGTTTGTTTGTATGTATGTTGTTTAAAGCTGCACTCAGCAATATTCCAGCTATATGTTGGCGGTCTGTATATAGTCGAGTCTGGACCAGACAATCCAGTGATCAACACCATGAGCATCGATCTGAACAATAGCGATAAGATGACATGTGTCAATCAGCGAGCCTGACCATCCGATCCCGTTAGTCGCCTCTTACGACAAGCATCTGTTGCTGCAAACCAATTCTAACCGGAAGATATTTTTTATTATCTCACGTGTAACATTTTTTAACCAATCAATAAATGACATTGTGAGTATAACCAGATTGTTAATGACATATTAAAACTAATTTTCAATTGAAACTAATTTGATATGAATATTATGTTTCCTCTTATTGGAAACTGCATGACTGGCCAGCAGGGACTTGTTTTATTAATTTCTGAACTGTATATAAAGTTGTTCACTAAATTCCGAACGTTGAAATCATGGATATTGTTTCAGTGTGTTTGTTTTGTGTTGGGTTCCATCTTGCTAGTGGAACGGAATGGCCGATGAAAAACGCGTAAGTATATATTTTCTATTATTAATCACGCTGATTAGGTCAGGGGCGGTGGTTAAAGCGTTCGTTCGTCACGAAGACCACGATTCGATTCCCCACATGGGTACAATGAGTGAGTGAGTTTAGTTTTACGCCGCACTCAGCAATATTCAAGCTATATGGCGGCATGGGTACATTGTGTGAAGCCCATTTCTGGTGTCCCCCGATATTGCTAGAATATTGCTAAATGCGGCGTAAAACTAAACTCATTCACTCACACATTAGGTCAAACCAGGTATGGCATGACAACGTACGCGTGATGTGAATCAGGATCAAGACGTTGCCTATTTTTTGATGATGTTAATGATAATGGTACGATTCTTACACACCAGGGTACCTGTGGCATTGTGGGATTCGAGGTAGTGAATCCAGGCATGACTACGGGAGATAATTCTGCGAAACCCGTATATGACTGGAAACATGCCAGTGTAACAATATACAGTGATATATTTGAAATATTAGTTTAATCATTTGATCAGGCTCGCCCACTTTGCTGACGAGGGGCGTAGGGGGTAGCCTAGACTAAGGCTTAGTCTCTGAATATATATAATTTTGATAGTAACAAACAAGCCCATTTATATTGAAAAGGAGCCCTACGGAGACCAGAGATTCAGAACCTGAGGAAATCTAGACTTGCTTTATTTAGGGCTTTAGCACTGCAGAGAGGGCTTTGCAGTAGGGAAATTAATGTGGTTCAGGGACTGTGAGACAGACTAGGGGTAGCCTAGTGGTTAAAGCGTTCGCTCGTCACGCCCAAGACCTGGGTTCGATTCCCCACATGGGTAATTGTGATTCCAGGCCAATCCCTGCTCGACCAGACCCCGACCCTAGATGCCTCCAGGATGGCTGGTCTTTCTGCTATACCGGAACTGCAGGCATCCCTAGATTTAGCGATACAGACAAGGTCGAAATCTACCATTCGTCTTCGGAATTCTTGCCTGCAGCTTATGCTCGCGTAAGTAACAATACCTTTATGAGGCTTGAATTAGTCTGTCTGTCTGTTAATCCTTCCGTGTGGGGGCGTTGGGGTAGCCTAGTGATATTGAAAAGATTCCAAGAGCTATCTCCTTTATCATTGCAATACAAAGTGGATTATCTTTTGTTGAAGACGAATACCATGTATTATTTGTGTGTAAACAATATTCAACCATAAGAAGCACATACATTTTCAAACACGTAACATCAGTATCACATCATTATGGCATCAGATAAATGTAGTGTTGTCTATGATATTGGTCAGTTCTTACTTAAGGTATATAAGCTTAGAATTGCCCTTACACATGTGAAATGAGTGTGTGATATGTAAACCCATATGCATGACAACTCTTGCAGGGAATAATTCATGGACTCTACTGTGTATATATGCGCGGATTGTGAAAGTTAATCCATGACTGTATTTTTGGCCAATGGCCTTGGTACTGGAATAAAATGTCTGTCTGTCTGTTTATGCGAGCCTGATTAGGTTTATGCCTACAACATTATCTTCCTCTAAACGACCAAAGACTCAAAACTTTATCAGCTTCTGTTCTTCAAACGCAAAAAATAATCTCAAAACAGTTTTGAAAATGTCACCTTGAAGCAGCCATATTAGATTATACTTCATTTTTCTCTTCATTATTTTAAAAGCACCTTACGTTTCCACCGTAAGCTAAATTGTTGGCGTTTTGCACAAACATTACAAGTTGAGCTGTAGACGTCTTTACTTGAGAGTTGAAAACGGCCCGAGCTTCGTATAGAATTCGGGCTCGGGGCGAGTCTTATTTCAATCTTCATTTGGGATAAGGAGTGCAAAATCAGCATTTCAGTGTTAAAGGTAATAAACAGCGGTACAAATTGTCATGGCTGGAAATGGACGACTCAGGTAGAATTAGAAGAACTGCAAGAGAGATGTGTCGTGTGTTGGTGTCATAGCTAATGGCACTGGTGCTATGATTTTAGTGTTTTTCTTTTTGAAAATCCACCCGTGAAGATTCGGGTTATGCTTGTCGTAAGAGGCGACTAACGGGATCGGGTGGTCAGGCTCGCTGACTTGGTTGACACATGTTATCGTATCCCAGTTGTTGCGTAGAGTGATGCTCATGCTGTTGATCACTGGATTGTCTGGTCCAGACTCGATTATTTACAGACCACCGCCATACAGCTGGAATATTGCTGAGTGCGGTGTAAACACAAACCAACTTTTTGAAAATCACTTTTAGAGGGGTTCTCAAAAGTTAAACAAATGAATTCGGACCTTCATTGAGCTTAATAACTGCGCCCTGGTTGTTGTTTTATTTACCGACATATTTTTTCCAGAACATGACCCATGCATCACTCTACATCAGGAACTTGAACACCGGCAGGAATTACACGCTTGAGTGGTACTCCTTCTTTCATTTAAAGAACTGCGGAAGCCCGAAAATCCTAGGTGAAGACTCTCTCCTCTGGTGCAACCAGGGTGGGTCCTGCTTCATGGACCACGTGGTACCCCGACTGGAGACGGGGGAGCGGTTTCTCGTGGCGACTATAACAGGTGCAGTACTGAGGCCTTTCATTCATTCATTAGATCTGCGTTAGAACTGGTCTTCAGCAACTCATGTTTGTCGTGAGAGGCGTCTAACGGGGTCGGGTGGTCAGGTTCGCTGACTTAGTTGACACATGTTATCGTATCTAAATTGCGTAGATCAACGATTATGCTGTTGATCACTGGATTGTCTGGTCCAGACTCGATTATTTACAGACCGCCGCCATATAGCTGGAATACTGCTGAGTGCGGCGTAAAACAACAACCAAACCAAAATCATTCATTCATTATTTTTTATTTGGGAGTGTGTGTGTGAGAGAGAGAGAGAGAGAGAGAGAGAGAGAGAGAGTGTGTGTGTGTGTGTGTGTGTGTGTGTGTGTGTGTGTGTGTGTGTGTGTGTGTGCGTGCGTGCGTGCGTGCGTGCGTGCGTGTGTGTGTGTGCGTGTGTGTGTGTGTGTGTTGATTATAAATGGCCAGATAAACGAACTGTTGGTTGTGTGAAGAAACGTTCAGGAAATAAAACAAATTTAATAATAATGACGACTATTTCAAATTGTTCATCAGTTTCAGTTTGTTTTTTAACAATCCACAAGGGATATGAATGATGAGTGTCGTATTTTTGTCATTACTATAAACCTTTGTACATGAGTGAGTGAGTTTGGTTTTACGCCGCTTTTAGCAATATTCCAGCAATATCACGGCTGGGGACACCAGAACCTTTGTACATGATTTAACTTCAACGGTGAAGAAAAAATGATATAAGAATTTCGTATGAGTGTATAATACGTAACTTGTGTTTCAAAGTAGAATGTTCTCATTATTGCGACCTGGCAAGTGCGACTGTGAAATATAGATGATGATTAAAAATATGTTCATCATAACCCGAACATGATCCAGTTTGAAACATCTGCATTGAACAGTGGAAGTCTCGAGTTGTATAGTACGATTTCATTTGAGACCGATGAATTGATCACTAACATAAAATCTAATAATTGCAACAAAACCAGCCTGGTAATCAACAAGCGTGTGTAGTGAAATTACAATTTCACACGTGCAACTCCTGGCTGTTCTACCAGCAAGCAAGTGCCCGAAATATCGAAAAGTGACAACAAAATAAGGATCGTAACAACTTTTTTATTCGGGTGTCCAAAATTATGATACAAATCATCAAAGTTGGTCTTTCGATTTCATGTGACTGTGCAAAATTTGGTTTTGTTGCAATTATTAGATTTTGTGTTAGTGAGCAATTCATCGGTCTCACATGAAAACAAACGGACTGTATAGAACATCGAACCCCTGTCAGTTTATACAAGGGAGACTACTCGTCTTGCCATGTTTGCTGTGTGTCTTCATACGAGTCACAGTTTATATATATTATGAAACTGTAAATATCGTCAAGCATTTCTTTAGGGAGCACCGGGTATCCACGGATTTCATTGGTTCCATAATAAAGTCTACTTATGATTAGTAAACGCAGTCATAAATGTAATAATGCTACGAAATAATGTTAGTAATGGTCTGAACGAAATAATGTTAGTTTATTAGTGATTATCTTAACCATCATAATGGTTTTATGCATTATTTCAACACAAAAGGAAACGTCCGAACACTCACTCATTCAAACGTATTTCTTTCGTAATTCCTGTTCTTGGACAATGGCTACTGTATAACTCACGACCTTGACAAAGAAAAATATGGGTGTTACTCTAGTGTTTAGTGAAACACCCACCCGTGAAGATCCGAGTTAGAATTGATCTCCAGTAACCCATGCTCGTCGTAAGAGGTGACTAACGACATATGTCATAGTATCCCAACTGCGTAGATCGATGCTCATGCTGTTGATCACTGGATTGTCTGGTCCAGCTCGATTATGTACAGACCGTCGTCATATAGCTGTAATGTTGCTGAGTGTGTCGTCCAACGCACACAAAAAATAAACAAAGAAATAATACTCTGAAACTATCCAACTGAGCTACGGAGCCTCGTGTTTCTTCTGGACACATGCGGAGTAGCCTAGTGGTTAAAGCGTTCACTCGTCACGCCGAAGTCCCGGTTTTGATTCCCCAGATGGTCACAATGTGTGAAGACCATATATCGCTGTGATATTGCTAAAAGCGGCGTATAACCCAACTTACTCACTCACTCACTCACTCTGGTCACATGCGGTTTTAGTTCACATCGTCTTTCTTCAACAGGTACGACATTCAACTCCTTTGCCGACTGGGTGCGACACGACAACAATACTCTGGTCTTTGGACAAATGAACTACATCGCTACGTCTCCAGGTGGGCTACTGTGCGTGATGATGTGTGATGGATTGACTGACTGAGTTTCGTTTTACGCCGCTTTTAGCAATATTCCAGCAACATCACGGCGGGGGACACCAGAAGATGTGTGATGGATGTTGCATGCATGTGTTAGAGTGAATTAAAGGTATTGAGCCGTATGCCAGTTTGTTTACTCCGAATCGAATACATTTTATTGACAAAACGCAATAGGACAGAACCGAAAGTGGTCCACGCCTTACTGTAGTATTCCGCATTCATTACGAAAGCTTAATACTGCCTCTTTTGTAGTATACAAACAACCTTTCAGCGATTATTTCCTCTTTTTTCGATTATTTTCTCGTTGCTTCAACTATTTCTTCCTTGCTTCGAGTATTTTCTTGAAACGTCAAATATTTTCTGCTTGCTTAAACTTAAAGCAACGAGAAAATAATCAAAGCAACGAGAAATGAATCGAAACAACGAGAAAATAGTTGTAGCAACAAAAGTTAGGCTTTCGTAATAATTCATAAGCCAAGTAGTCATCGTCCCAAAATGGTGTAGGGACAGCGGTGGAGCCTAATGGTTAAAGCGTTTGCTCGTCCCGCTGAAGACTCGAGTTCGATTCCCCACATGAGTAAAATATGTGAAGCCCATTCTGGTGTCCCCCGTCGTGGTATTGCTGGAATATTGCTAAAAGCGGCGTAAAACTACAGTCACTCACTCAATCGTGTACATCAATGTTACTCTTTTTCACAATCGTACTCACGTACCTCTTAGTGAAACGTATGTTTGGTTATTATTGTATAACATGAATAGTATGCCCCGAATAGAGCTTCGACGTGGATCTTATATCGTATACAAAAATATACGGGAATACCTTTTGAAGACCTTCCCGGTGTTTTGCATGGAATCATAGGAGGGACATTGTCGCGTTGTCACTCTGTCAATTCACTGGGCAATTTCGCCAGTTTTTCTTGTTTTTGTGAGGGCGACGACGCCACAACGCGACAAGGTCCATTGTAGGATTCCATAGTTTTGACTCACGCTAATCATTTTCTTCTTTCATCCTGCAGAGGGACAACTGTGGTTTGAAGCAAATGATTGCGGTACGTTTGTTATACGTGCGTATGAGGCACTATTCGACTTGGGAGTCACGTTCCGCCAGACTAGACAGCCGTACTACAGTCGCAGCTACATCTCCGCGAAGCAGCCAACATTCCTGGGCAGCCAGACAGACATCTTTGGCCCAACCGGAAACCAGGCACTAGCCAGGAACCTCGTCAAGTATTACCAATTAGACGGCCGTACAGAGTTAGACATGGAGTATGGTTACATGTACTTCAATCAAGCCTATTGGAACTACACAAAGCTTAACACTGGTCATATAATCACCAATGTGATGGTTCCACTTCCTGGTGGTTCGTCTTAGTTCATTCGGATGCGATCGGCTATTTCCGCGACCTACATCATTATTCGGGTTCTGTTCAGTGACTGTAGAATGTGTGCATTTATGGTTAATTGTAATTACACAACTTTACATCTCGCGACTTTTATGTAGAGACACTAATACCACCAGATTGTGTGGTGTTATGCGATAGTCATGTGAAATAGTGACCCTAGAAGACCCAAATTCAACATATACTACTCAAAAGATTATGAAGAAAAACGGATGTTTTCTATGCCTCATCTAATGGCCAAACGAAAAGATCCGAATTTCATTAACATCTTTTGAACAACTTGTTTGAGTGGCATTTAGAAGTTGGTGTGATGAACAACGAGGAGAGTTCTATGGATGTACAACTTCTTTAATATAATATGAGCGACGTTTCGGTGAAGCTACTAACACCGTTATCAAGCAACTGATGTACAATACTAGAGGCACGGTACATGTATATACATAGTAAAGTTGAACAGTATGATTGATGTTTGCACAATTAATGAGGTTGATGTACAAGGTTGGAGGATGTTTACACAAGAAGGCAATTGTTACACAAACAGAGTAAGCTATGGGGGATTATTGGGAGGAAGTCAGTGATATGACAGACAGGAGAATAATGGAATTAAGATTGCTTGGTGATGAGTTGGTTGTAGGCAGTGGGGATGTAATACCCTTGGTCTCTGTTCATGGCCGGTTGGAGTCTCTTGATGTGAATGTGTACCGTAAACCCACCCATACTGATCAGTATCTTCACCACTCATCTAACCATCCCCTACGTGTCAAGAGAGGAATAATAGCTACACTAACCCGACGTGCCAAAAACATCAGCTCCACATCACAACAACTGGAAGCTGAACTTCAACATCTTCGCCATGTCTTTAAGACCTACAACAACTACCCTGCCAGCCTTGTAGACCGCACCATCAACGCCACCCTCAACCCGATAGACAAGCCCCCACGCCAACAAACAGCTCCGTTCATCATAAGCCTGCCCTATATAGGTTCAGCCAGCCACCAGATCAGCCGACTCTTAAAACACCAAGTCAACATTGATGCTCTGTTCCAGAGAGGTTCTACTATACAGAACATCCTAAAAGCCAATGGCAGACCAACCCCCACAACTAAAGAAGACCCCTCAGGCACAGTCTACCACATGCATAAAGTGTGACTGTGGTGACTCGTACATCGGTGAAACCTCAAGACCCCTTCCTGTAAGAATCAAAGAACATCAATCCTCTGTGAAGAAGAAAGACTCCAAATCCGCCATCTCTGACCACACCCAAGCTCACCCAGACCACAACACTCTATGGAACAGCATCAATGTACTCACCAGCAATCACACCCACTACAAGATCAGAGAGCTACTAGAAGTAATTCACATCAAGAGACTCCAACCGGCCATGAACAGAGACCAAGAATATTACATCCCCACTGCCTACAACCAACTCATCACCAAGCAATCTTAATCCCATTATTCTCCTAACTGTCATATCACTGGTTTCCTCCCAATAATCCCCCATAGCTTACCTGTTTGTGTAACAATTGCCTTCTTGTGTAAACATCCTCCAACCTTGTACATCAACCTCATTAATTGTGCAAACATCAACCACTTACTGTTCAATTTTACTATGTATATATAACCTTGCCTCTAGTATTGTACATCATTTGCTTGATAACGGTGTTAGTAGCTTCACCTAAACGTCGCTCATATTATATTAAAGAAGTTGTATATCCATAGAACTCTCCTCGTTGTTCATCTTTTGAACAGTATATATTCCTCCATATATTGGCCGAAGTAACATATGAGAGCTGCTTAGTTTTGCAATATAATTGTAGTTCATGTTTTCGGAACATTTTTGACATGATCTGCGAAATTAAGAGAATCACTGTCACATCAATTTGTTTCAATGTACTAAGAAGCTACCTGTACTGTACTACTGAGGTAAAGTCTGTAAACATAATTCTGGCAATAAAAACATGAAAAAAAAGAAAGAAAAAGAATTGTTTCAATGTTTGAGAGTAGGCAGATTAGTGAGCAAGCTTTTAAGAAAGATGTAACTTTTATATGTACATGTTAGTGTGTTTCAACAAAGTAAACATCAAGCAAATGACTCTGGCAAATCGTCTTCAGATCTTTTGTTTTTTTCTCCAAACACCCTGCCCTGACCACAAACTGCATCCGGCAAGTTACATATGTTGTGAATCTGACAGCAGAAGCTTGAGCACCGGTATACGAGCTTTGACGGCACGTATGTCGCGGCATGGAATACGGGCGTCAGTAAGACGTTTCAACGACACGTGTTGATGCAGTATGGGTTTCAGGCGTCTTTATAACGCTTCAGCGACACGTGTTGATACAGTATGGGTTTCAGGCGTCTTTATAACGCTTCAACGACACGTGTTGATACAGTATGGGTTTCAGGCGTCTTTATAACGCTTCAACGACACGTGTTGATACAGTATGGGTTTCAGGCGTCTTTATAACGCTTCAACGACACGTGTTGATACAGTATGGGTTTCAGGCGTCTTTATAACGCTTCAGCGACACGTGTTGATGCAGTATGGGTTTCAGGCGTCTTTATAACGCTTCAGCGACACGTGTTGATACAGTATGGGTTTCAGGCGTCTTTATAACGCTTCAACGACACTTGTTGATGCAGTATGGGTTTCAGGCGTCTTTATAACGCTTCAACGACACGTGTTGATACAGTATGGGTTTCAGGCGTCTTTATAACGCTTCAACGACACGTGTTGATACAGTATGGGTTTCAGGCGTCTTTATAACGCTTCAACGACACGTGTTGATACAGTATGGGTTTCAGGCGTCTTTATAACGCTTCAACGACACGTGTTGATACAGTATGGGTTTCAGGCGTCTTTATAACGCTTCAACGACACGTGTTGATACAGTATGGCTTTCAGGCGTCTTTATAACGCTTCAACGACACGTGTTGATACAGTATGGGTTTCAGGCGTCTTTATAACGCTTCAACGACACGTGTTGATACAGTATGGGTTTCAGGCGTCTTTATAACGCTTCAACGACACGTGTTGATACGGTATGGGTTTCAGGCGTCTTTATAACGCTTCAACGACACGTGTTGATACAGTATGGGTTTCAGGCGTCTTTATAACGCTTCAACGACACGTGTTGATACAGTATGGGTTTCAGGCGTCTTTATAACGCTTCAACGACACGTGTTGATGCAGTATGGGTTTCAGGCGTCTTTATAACGCTTCAGCGACACGTGTTGATACAGTATGGGTTTCAGGCGTCTTTATAACGCTTCAACGACACGTGTTGATACAGTATGGGTTTCAGGCGTCTTTATAACGCTTCAGCGACACGTGTTGATACAGTATGGGTTTCAGGCGTCTTTATAACGCTTCAGCGACACGTGTTGATACGGTATGGGTTTCAGGCGTCTTTATAACGCTTCAGCGACACGTGTTGATGCAGTATGGGTTTCAGGCGTCTTTATAACGCTTCAACGACACGTGTTGATGCAGTATGGGTTTCAGGCGTCTTTATAACGCTTCAACGACACAGGTTTGCCACGGTATGGCTTTCAGGCGTCTTTATAACGCTTCAACGACACGTGTTGATACAGTATGGGTTTCAGGCGTCTTTATAACGCTTCAACGACACGTGTTGATACAGTATGGGTTTCAGGCGTCTTTATAACGCTTCAGCGACACGTGTTGATACAGTATGGGTTTCAGGCGTCTTTATAACGCTTCAACGACACGTGTTGATACAGTATGGGTTTCAGGCGTCTTTATAACGCTTCAACGACACGTGTTGATACAGTATGGGTTTCAGGCGTCTTTATAACGCTTCAACGACACGTGTTGATACAGTATGGGTTTCAGGCGTCTTTATAACGCTTCAACGACACGTGTTGATACAGTATGGGTTTCAGGCGTCTTTATAACGCTTCAACGACACGTGTTGATACTGTATGGGTTTCAGGCGTCTTTATAACGCTTCAACGACACGTGTTGATACAGTATGGGTTTCAGGCGTCTTTATAACGCTTCAACGACACGTGTTGATACGGTATGGGTTTCAGGCGTCTTTATAACGCTTCAACGACACGTGTTGATACAGTATGGGTTTCAGGCGTCTTTATAACGCTTCAACGACACGTGTTGATACGGTATGGGTTTCAGGCGTCTTTATAACGCTTCAACGACACGTGTTGATACAGTATGGGTTTCAGGCGTCTTTATAACGCTTCAACGACACGTGTTGATACGGTATGGGTTTCAGGCGTCTTTATAACGCTTCAACGACACGTGTTGATACGGTATGGGTTTCAGGCGTCTTTATAACGCTTCAACGACACGTGTTGATACAGTATGGGTTTCAGGCGTCTTTATAACGCTTCAACGACACGTGTTGATACAGTATGGGTTTCAGGCGTCTTTATAACGCTTCAACGACACGTGTTGATACAGTATGGGTTTCAGGCGTCTTTATAACGCTTCAACGACACGTGTTGATACAGTATGGGTTTCAGGCGTCTTTATAACGCTTCAACGACACGTGTTGATACAGTATGGGTTTCAGGCGTCTTTATAACGCTTCAACGACACGTGTTGATACGGTATGGGTTTCAGGCGTCTTTATAACGCTTCAACGACACGTGTTGATACAGTATGGGTTTCAGGCGTCTTTATAACGCTTCAACGACACGTGTTGATACAGTATGGGTTTCAGGCGTCTTTATAACGCTTCAACGACACTTGTTGATACAGTATGGGTTTCAGGCGTCTTTATAACGCTTCAACGACACAGGTTTGATACGGTATGGGTTTCAGGCGTCTTTATAACGCCTCAGCCACACAGGTTTGCCACGGTATGGGTTTCGAGCGTCAATATGTCATTCTGACGATGCCAGTTACGATAATGCGAGATTACAGCGCGTAATTATGCAGTTCGGGCGAGATTTGTGGCAGTATGATATTTGAATGTCAGTATATTATTCAGACAACACAATATGCGGCAGTATTTGATATCCGTGTTAAGATAATATACGATTTTCAAGAGCGTCAGTATGAGCCTCGGGCTATATCATGTAGTATTGGATTCGGGTGTCAGTAAGACATTTAGACGATATGTTGCGACAGAAGTTTGGGCAACACGCATTGCAGTTCGGGCGGCAAAACTTGAGAGCAGGAAACCTCCGCAAGTTAGACTAGGTAATTCACAGACTCTATGATCAAGATTAATCTAAAACTATGTAAGTGCATCTATCACCTGGAGACAATCCTTCACTTCCACACAAAACCTGATAGGACTGATCAGACCGCGAAGGTTAGTTCCTCCACAG